GCTCCTAGTAGCGATGCCCTTGTTACTAGTAGCTTCTTGCTCCTAGTGTGTCCACCATGTGTTTTCACAAAGAACATTTGAAGCGGCCTCAAGAAATAACTCTCCTGAGGCTAGCTACACCCTCGTCCTCGAGTTGAAGTTCTTCTTCAAAGTCTTTCCTCTTTTGCATGTCTTCGTCCTGAACGCTGTTTGCCGATATTTTGGAGGTAAATGGTAGCCACATTCTCTTCGCGGCCATTCTGGTCGCCACAAGTGCAGCCACACCCACCGAGGTGTCCAAAGTCCGTGAAAGCCAATGAAATATTTGTCGATCGCTAAGTTCGGACAAAAAGTGTGAGCTGAGCAGCGGTTTTCTTGCTACACGTCAGCCAACGCAATGTTGAATGTTTAGTCATAGACAATATGGGCAAGCCAAAGTCCTTTTGGCCTTCTCCTCTGCTTTCAGCACTACTTTTCTGGCCAATCGCCTTTGGCGATTGGGCACCTGTTTTTGTACATGGAGTTTTGCTTTTCACGGTTGGCCAGTGTCAAAGAGCGCTGCGCTATGCTGCGCTATAATGGGAACCATCCCAGTCATTCCAGCCAGATTCCAAGTGCCGCCTTCACTGAAAGAAGATACAAAGCCCCTCGATCAAATCCTGACCCGGATACCAGGTCAGCTTGTATGGCCCTGCGGGAGCTCGTTGCAATTGGTCCTTGATGATCAGCTCACAAATCCTCGCAAAACATGTTGCTTGTGAATTCTTTCGTTGACATAATTACCTTGCACAAGCTTTTACAAACACGCAACTCTTCCGTTTCTCATGTAAAATGCTCACTGGGAATTGGGAGTGTAGAAACCCCGGCCACACTTTGCAAAGAAACCAAAACTATTGGCTTTGCTTCGGAGTCAAGAAGGGAGGTACGAGTAGCTCCGAAATGCAAATTAAGCCAAGATACATCGAGTTGATCTCATCTGAATAGTTTCGGATTTCCATGCGGATGGCTTCACCATCTTCAGGACGGCTACATGTTGCCTTTCAGCTGTCAAAGGATTCCGAAAAGAAATCTGGTGGCTTGACGGAGGAGACATGCGAGGGACAATGCAGGCGCATCCTGTGGTGAAGCCTCAACCTTTAAGATATAAAAGAGTTTATGATTTATGATGCTCCACACCTTCCGCACATCAAGGGCACGCTTCATGCGCTCAGTGGCCCGTGCAGTGCTTCGTTCTGCCCGCTTCCCCCAGCGCTCGAAACGTCGCAGGTACATCCCTGCAGCCATGATGTCCATATCCTGGGTGGGGAAGTTGGCCGAACGAATAGAGAAAGTGCCCCTGAACTTGCAGGTTTTCAGTTAAGACCTTCGGATGAGCCTGTTCAAGTCTTAGTCTCTTCCCCACTTTATTGGGCAGGTTCTATCCATTTCTAGTCCCAGCCGCTGCAGCTGCCGACTCCATGGCATCCGCGATGGCCAGCTCCCGTCGACGAGCGCGCACAGCTGCCTTCACAGCACGCGTGGCCGCGCCCGAAGCCCAGCGGTTTGTAGCGAAGTGAGCAGGGTCTCCAAGAACCGCGGTGGTGATGCCCAGAGTCCTGGACAGGGTCGCAGCCCCACAAATGCCCGCTGATCTTGTTGGGCATTTGGTGGAACAAGGACAATGCGAACAAAGAGCCCTGCCTGGCACAGTGGGCTTCATAGACACACCAAAGCCTTGAGTGGATCGGCACATTGGAGTTGGCGATCATGAGAAGCCTTTTTGGGCGACTGATCAATACCTCCCATGCACTTTCATGGGCCACTTGGACGACAAGCAACCCAGGAATTTCAAGGCAGATTCTGATTGAATCAATTATACGAATATAAATATATATAAATCTTAATTCAATTTGTACCAAGGCGCTCTGAAGAATGGTGATTGAGAAGGGGTCTCAATCATATGACTCATGAGCTCAGGTAGATTCTGCGGATTTGCCAAGGAGCAAATGTATGCACCGATACATCCATCTGGCCAGTTCTGCACCACAGTGTTGCTAAGCTCAAAAATTCCTTCCGACCATGCATGCGAGACGAAGAGGTCACAGCTGAGGCCATCTGAGTTGCAGTGCAAGGCATAGCTGAGGCAAGGGATGCCGTGGCATGGGTCCTTCTTTCGGGTCAACGGCTGGATATGACTTTCATTCACCTGGTACATGTTGGGTCCGATCGTCACGTCCCAGAACTTGCTTTCCTGAACGGGGCGAAGGCGGGCGAAGGGGCGAACGTTCGAACGAGCTCGGTCGTGGCGTCGAAGTCCACTGGCAAGTGTACACAAAAACATGTCAACCTGGAGGATCCATGGGCATCCATTGGGTTACCCTCCAGCGACATGAACCTTCAGCCTTTTAAAACACCATCTGCCTCATAGAAAGGCACCTTTCGTTGACGGCAGTCATTCTTGGAACGATTGGTCAAACTGCGCATCTCCACAAGAGAATGAAGCTCCTTGGCTAGGTCAGCCAGCTGATCCTCTCAGGGCTGATGTGCAACGGACAACTCACCATTGGTGTTCATCCAGGAACACCAAAGCCAAGTCAAAGTCACATGGTTGGTGCTACCGTGTTTGCATAACATATATAAGTTCGTCGCAACCAGTTTGCAACCGTTCGTGGTGGCTTTCTTGGATCTCTGGTGTGAACAATGCTGCGTCGAAAAGTCATCTTCCTTAAACATTTCATCAGTTAAACACCAGCAGGACGCAACATTGCATCGACTTCCAAAAAAGCCTCGCCAAGCAGGGACGCACAATTGATCAAAACGCATCGACTTCCACATCTAGGAGTACCAATTGGCAAATGAAAAGCCCCAATGTTCCCCAAATTGTACGCACAATCCACGTCCTGATTCGGCTGACCGAGTTCTGACCCCCTCCCACTCCCGTTCCTGGCTGACACCCCACTGCTCTGCGGGAAGCTCTGAATGGACCAGCTCAGCTCCAGTCGTGCCACCCCGTTCTTCTTGCACCTCGCGCCCACGCCGAAAGATCTCAGCGATCGCATCACCACTCAGCGGATCCGGCGCCTCTGGGACCTCTGGAGGTGAGGACCATGGTGCCGGCTGAGTCTGGACGCGAATCCAACAGCACATGGCACTCAGCGAGTCCAGCCTTCGTTTCACTCATGCTTCAAATTCCCTGCTCAATATCTCTGAACTGTGCCTTCATGAACGTTCCAGGCTTCAAGAATCATAGCGTCTATTCGGGTATATTCCCACTTCACAAGTCCAACTCAGCTTCTACACGCTTCAGTCGAACTCCCATGATGGAACCACTGTTTTTTGATCAGTCTTGTTACTTGTTCCGAACGCCGCAAGGCTACATATACCAAGCTGTCTTGGTTTCATTCAAAGAGAAGCCAAAAAAGACTGGACGTAATTGATTCAAGTTTGAACCAGTCAACAAAGTACAACTCAATACAACAGCGGATCAAACACAGATTGCACGTTCGAATATATACTGTATTTGGTCCTTACATGGTGGTGCATCTCAGTCCATAAACGTCTAAAGCTTCGAAAGCACAGGCATGCCGGAAATGGCCAGGCATCAGGGAAAGGAGGGGGTTGAAATCTCCAAAGTGTTCTTCCAAAACTGCAACCAACACGTGTCCTCAGTGTCCGTCAAAAAAAAAGTGAAGGGTGTCCACTGTCCGCACCTAAAATACCTCACCCAACCAATCCTTTCTCACTTCCCAACATTTCCCAACAATTGATTCAATTCCGGTCAGATTCGGAAATAGCTCCGGCACCTCACGCTCTGGTAAGCCAACACTCTAAGAAAACATCCAGAAGATTGGGGTCGGAGCTGATGACACTAAAGGACCCGAGGGACAACAAAAAAGTGATGAACTCAAAACGAATCAAAAACGAATCTGAACTGTGAACTGTGTCCTGTCTAAAACGATTCAACGATGGATTTCAACACGGTCCTTTTGGGTCCCCAAAACGACGACGAAGGGTCACGTGTTCCTCCCGCTCCTGCAAGGAGGGATCCACCGCGGAGAGCCGAAGGGTCACGTGTTCCCAGGCATCCACCGGGCCCGTCTCCGGCCTTAGGTCCAATGAGAAGGGCCATGGGTCCTGTGAGTTAGGCTAATCCAGGTCGGACGAAAGGCCACACTTGGTCATAAGAAAAGAAAACAAGAAACCGTCATCCACTTGGAAAGTGCATCTTGCTTTGCATCTAATTACCTTTGCTTTCCCCGACTGAAACTCTATTTCGATCACTGACCCTGCTGGCATTCCACACTTGGACGGGGATGTGGGCGTCTTCTGTGTGCCCTGGCAAGTGTGGCGGCTGTCTTCGGCGGATCGGCACATTGTGATTCACATCTTCAGCCCGTCACCCTGCAAATACCTGATCTACTGGGCCAAGTGTGGGCAGATCCATTTTCCTTGTATCTAGATCCACCCGTCAGTGTCATTGTTCGAATGCAATCAAGGTTCATGTCGCAAATGGCAAATTGATGGGCTCAGTTGGTGGTCACGACAAGCGAGCGTGAAAGCCGAAAGCAGGTAGCATCCCATGTCGCCTCCCAATTCCTCAGCTTGGTTAAAAATATTCACAAAATGCCCGTAGCTTCTGGGTGCATGACCACATGCAAATGTATTGTCAGACGAGCTGTCGCAAGTACGGTTTAGGCACGCAGCCGCCTATCCTTCAAGACACATATGCCGAGGCTCGACCATGGCTGGGCCTGGTCTGGAAGGCTGCGATTCCAAATACTCGAGTCTCAAGGCAACAGTTTGTTGCTATGTGTATGTGTATATATGCTACTAGGGTGGAGGCCATTACTACTAGGGTGGAGGCCATTATATATACATATCATATATCTTTCCGAGGATCTGATTTCACGGGAAGGTGACGGGAGAAAGAATGAAGGTGATTACTCTTGGTTGTCGTGTATGTACTCCTGGTTGTTGTGTACGTAGTGTATGTGTTGGCTCAAGAGACCTTCAACAAGCTAGATAAGCACATATTACCGGGCTGTTTTCAAGGCATTGTTCCCAGTACAAGTACATCAACAAGTTTTTTGCGATGCTCGTCTGGAATAGAAATTCATAGAAATTCTACAAACTTCAAGACATGGAATAAGGATGAGTGTCAATGAGCTGTAGGGCCTATGAGCTAAAAGCAATTCCAGTTAAGTTTCCCTAATATAGGGCGGTGGGGGGAGCTTCCTTGAAGAAGCGTGAGCTATCCTGCGTCCATACTAGTAGCTACTTAAGCTACTAGCGGCCTATAGCTACTAGCTATATACCTCTAGCGGCAGTACCCCCCCCCCCCGGGACTCAAAAAGCACCCTCACTGCTCAGCTTTTGTGCGGCTGTGTGAGTCCCCCCGCTTCCAGCTTCTTGCTGTGCTTTCGAAGCTCCTGCACATTGGGGGGGAGACATGTAAGCAGAGTTGAGATCACCATACACTTCTGAACGTCCCATGGTGCGTTTGAAGTGTTTCCATGTCTTCAGAACGTCCCATGGTGGCGCTGCTCTTCTTCAAAACTGGAATCTGTCCAAAGGGACTGCGCTGGAGTTGGTTACGACATCACTAAGAACAACAACCACCTTGTTGGGGACCAGGCAAGAAAATTGACTGTAATTCTAGAAGGACCTCAACAAAGACATCTCTGCTTCTCAAACGCAGCTCGCGTTTGAAAGCTAGGGGGATTGATTGCCAGAATTTCCGAAGTTGCAAATTTCTTGACGCAAGGAACATCGTCACTTGCAGCGTAACCTCTACGATACTAACTGGATGGGCCGCTCAACGTGGCTCGTTCGATTGAAGGCAGGCGGTCCTCCTGTCTCAATCGCTCAAGATGCCTCTGCACTGTGTCCCCAATGCTCATCCGCCTCAAAGCATGCCAAACTAAGAGTTTCATTTGTTGTCCGTTCTTTCTATCTTTCTTCCTTCTTTCCTTTCTTTGGAAACCAGTTCTTTCTTTCTTCTTTTCTTCTTTTCATCTTTGTCAAGAAATTCATCCACCCTCGTCCAAATCATTCTTCCTGCAATATTGCTGTTCACCGACAAGTCCAATGGGGCCAGTGTTGGCATCAGATCTGTATACACTGTATATCGTCCCACTTCGAGCCCATGGACCTGTTGCCCGTCCACCCAAAGCACCAAAACGGAACACCCTTCCCAACCCACCACATCCTTCCCTCCAAACAAGCTCTCTGGGCGCTCGAGACTCTGCGCTTCGCGGAACAACGACCTTGCCAGGACTTACTCTGTTCGAATCTGCTCTCTACTTGTGAGGGTAGACATCTGACAGATGCATGTCCGCTGGCTCTCTTCAGGCTCTCAATGGATGAATCGGTAACCTGGTGGAGAGGCTACTCGGGTTACATTGAGCCAAAAGAAAGAAATAGAATCTTTTCCCAGCGCGGGTGCCAGCGAACCCTTTTGACAGCAGATCTCAGTCCGAGTTGGTTCACGGATCCTCACCTCAGAGTGTCAGAGCTCAAGAAAACCTATTGGAGCAGCAAGATGCAAGAGGCATTTGTATATGTGGGTGCGCGTACGGGTGTTCATAAGTGTTGAACCACTTGTTTTAAAAAAAAAGTTCATTCCAAACCTGGACTGGGCTGCCTGTCCCTGAAAGCTTGGAAGAGAAAGCGTAAAGCGAGCCCTCGAGATGCCAAGATACTGATTGACGGTGAAACTGCACCTGTGGCAACGACCATGCGATTGACCATTATCCAAGCAAATGTTGGTATGCTAGTTTAGCTACTGCAATTCAAGTCATGCCTTGTTGTGGAGCCTCAAACACCAAGAGATGAAGAAATGGCCCAAAACTGTTGAACACAAGGTCATGTAAGGCTACTAGCCACCTGGCCTTTCATTGATACCACGTCATTTTGTTAACCCCTCTGCACATTTGATCCTTGACACCGGACCCTGATCTGACCAAAGAGTCAACAAACGCTGCACCAAGTCATTTTCCCATTCCTCAAGCGCAGGGAAAAGGGTGAAAATCCTCAGCCAGGCCAAGGTAAAGTCACATCTGCACAAGAGTCTTGGCACCACACCACGCGGGAAGGAGCAAAAACATGCAAATCAGCTTTGGCGGAAAGCCGGTCTGTCTTGGGACAGGTGCACAAAACTGAAGAAAATGTCCAAAGAGAACACACAAATTCACACAGACAATCTCTCGGAAGCCTTCCCATGGTGAGAATGCTCTTCCCGAAAGCCTGCGTGTTTGGGCTGTTGCGAACATATCAAACCCACACAGACATGATATCGTCGCCAATCTGCTTCTTGACGAGGCAACTTCGTCTTGGCATGTCCTCTGTGCTGGATCCATCGCTTGAGTCATCCGTAGCTTTAGCAGAGGCAGTGGAAGACCTCCTTCGGAATGACAAAAGACTTCCCAGAAGACCACCAAATGAGCCAAATGTGCGCTCTGAGCGTTTCTTGGCACCTGACAGCCTCAAAAAGCTGAGCATCGGCCGGTCACCCAGCTCTTCTGCTACATCCAAAGGATACAGCTGTTGAACCCGGACAAACCGGTGAACGTCACTGGTATCTCGCAAACTGTTCACACCCGCAAAACCATGACGCTCCAAGAAAGCAGTTACTTTTTCGTTTCGCTTCTGGACTGCTTCCGCTGTGTCAAAATTGAGACTCTCATAGGTCATAGCCATGGCGGGAAACACGTATATAATGGCTGTTGGGTTGGTGGAAAACCGCACAAGTTGATTGAGCCCGAGCTGAAAAGTAAGGCAGCGAGTGGCACAGGCATCAACAGGATCACTTTCCATGCTTTCCAGGCCCTGCACATCGCAAGTGTTCAGGTTTCTTGTGTGCTTCACTGTGACAAACATTGCAGTGTGTCCCGATAAAAACATCTAGGGCCTAGGGACCATTTTCTTACAACCTTGCAGCGACTCGAAGGAAAAAACACGTCTGCACCTTCTGTCTGAAGGAAACACACTGAGCACCCGGGCCAAAGAAGGTGGGAGTGACGTAGACAACTCAACGACAAGGACAAGAACCCCAAAGATTGTCTCATTTACAGTGTCTCATTTACAATAGCATGCATCCCAAATCTTGGCCTTTCTGCAAAAGAAACACAGCTCCACATGTTACTCGGATCTTCGTAGATCTTCGTAGATCACCTACAAGTGCCTCGGATTTTTGGACTGCTGAGTGCACGCACCTCGACCGGAAAGTGAAACATTCTCAAGCACCTGGTGGTGGGCGTTCATGAAAGCGACAGGCATGGTTCAAAAAGGAGAATGGTGGGCGATCCAGCAAGGATGCGTCTCATCGAAGATGCAAATCACAATTTGAGCATTAGGAACAAGGGACGCGGAGCGAACGGAACGATCGGACACTACGAACGGGGCTCCTGGCCTTACTACTAGGAGCTAGAAGCCGGTTACAAATCCAAATGATCCAACCATTACACAGCTCAGTGAAGGCTACCATGGAGGACTAGTTGCAAAAGCCTGGAGTGGCGGAGCTCTTTTTGGCCGTCAAACAACAAGTCTTGCTTGAACCTTGTGAAGCTTACATCATCCATTTTGGATGTACCAGAACGAAAACTAAAGAATGGCACTTGCCTCTTCACACCCTATAAATCCTGCAATCCCTTCCTGTCAATGATAAACTGGACTTTGATGCTACTTCGGCATGCTTAAACTCGTGGTCATGAGGTTGTCCTAGACACACCGCAGTTGCCACGAAAGGGATTACCACGCGGGAAGGGCTCTTCTCCTAACTAGTCTCTACTAAAGGCGGTCAACAACCCAAGAGCTACGCCCAGACCGTTTGCAGTCTCTCTTCACAGCTTGGATCAGCCGCACTTCTTTGAATTAGGCAACTGCGTGGTGCACCATGTGAGGGCCCGTTTTGGTGATCTCTGCTGCTGGGCACAAGGACCCTGCGTATAATTTGCCAGGAGCTCTTCAGAAAGCCTTGTCCCCTTGGTCTCGCTCCCAACTGCTTCAACAGATTCAACATTCGTTCGTCGCCCAACTGTTCAGCAACTTCAAGAGGATATAGCGGCTCAATGCGGACCTTTTGATGCACATCGCTGGTGTCCCTGGGCCCATGAACGTCGTCAAAACCATGCCGATCCAAAAAGCCCTGCACCTTCTGTCTCGCCAAATCCTGTGCTCTGGGTGAGTCTGGGTCCATGCTTGAATAGCTCATCGCCGACATGGCTCCGAGAAGTCTCAGGATTTAGGATACGTGGTCGCGGAGAGTTGGCTGACTGAGTTGGCACGTGGAGATGTCACCGGTGAAACCGTTTGAAACACTTGGGTTGTTGTTCCCATGTCTGATTCCGGCACTTGCGACTTGAGGTGCCTGAACAAGGCAAAGCCCAAATGTGACAGGTAGAATCATCAACTCGCAATTGGGCGGTGATGCAACATGATGCAATCCCACAACTTCCAGACTGTCACCAACAGTTTCTGAAAGGCTACAGTTTTGGTCCCAAAACCGTGTGCTTTGAAGAGTTCGAATTCTTGGGGGCATGACATAAGGTAAGTAGATATGAAAAGAAATGAAACCAAGTTTCAGGTGTCGTGCATCATATTAGTTTTGCTAGCTGACTTCGAAGCCTTCAGGATGCTGCTCCAGGTCAAAGCGGATGGTCTGGTGGGGCTCCTTGAATTTTGCTGCACGATGGGGCCGAGAGTCTACAAAGCGAAGCTAAGGTCATGAGCTCATCCTGGCAAAGCTCATTCAAGGAACTGCGCTATCAGCTTTCTTTCACGATGAAGTGTAACTATAGCAATGTGCAAGGAACCTGATCGTTGTGGACATGGTGACCAAGTAGGGGTAAGGTCTCGAGTTGACCTTGTGACACGGTGCCCAATGTAGCTGGAATCAAAACCTGAATTGATATGAGCGTGCAAAAAAATTGCCCACGTTGACCAGGTTAAGATCTGGATCAAGTAGCGGATTGTATCATTGTGAATCTCAGGATCGAGGCCAGCAGGGAGGTCTTTCTGTCCTAGCTATGAGACAGGAGAACATCGCCAGATCCTCGTCGCAACCCCGCACCCCTCTGTCTTGCCTCCTGAGGGACTTCACGCCCCTCGTGTGACCTAGTGGCCAGTGGCCAGTGGAACACGCTCGAACGACTCCACAGGACCTACCCTCAAATCATATTCTTCCAATGTGGAGACCTTTTGACAAGCCCTTTTTACACGTCCAAATCTGCAGCTCAGGTGTCCAAAACAACTGATTCCCAGTTTAAGATCTCCATACTGCCAAATCAGATTCCACACTACTCACTCGATCTTCTGGATAGATTGAAATTCTAGACCGGCTGGGATGCTGATCCCTTCACTTCGTGTGTACAGCAATGACTCTGCAATGACCACCTCAACTGAGGCTAACATGTGGATGTGGCTCAAATTACACCAGCCTCGACCCCATGTGGAGCACTTTGAACAAGGAAACTCAAGAGGCACATGCTGTTGCTCACTCTCTTATGGCCGCCAACCGTCACCAGAGCGGGAATGCCATGTGACCATTGCCATGTGATGATTGTGATGGGATCGGGGACGGCTTTAGAGTTCAATCAAGTGGATTCCAGACAAAAAGTTGGGAGACAGGCATGGTTTCCAGAGTTCCAAGATTCCAGGGGGTTCCAAGGTTCCGGAGTTCCAGGCCTTCAAGAGAAGAGAGAACCCCATTTTGGCTTCCACAAAAAAACGGAACCCGCGGGTTTTGGAGCCTTTTCATTTGCCGAGGGGTCTTTAGTGTAACCCACCAGACTTTGAGCTGTAGGCTAAAGCCATGCATGGATTTGCCGCAGGTTGACATTGAGGAGTAAGAAGTGCCACTTGCTACTAGGAACGGACAAAACACATGTCGTTTCACAATTCAGAAGCTGCTGTATTTTTCAAGATGTCTAAGTTTGTGATGAGTAGCAAACTGGGCCAAATAGACTATTATTCACGGCTGTAGGCTCCGTCGTCTTCAACGCTCAAGTCTGACACCGAGCTAACCGAGCGTCGTCGCTCCACCGAGCTAAGAGCCCAACCCCGACTGCATTCCCTGGCGAGGGCTGCAGCTGTTCTCTAATTCACGCGGAATTTACTGTAAGTCCAAAGCACAGCTATATGTGGGGCAGCCAGAAGGATCTGTTTTCTGAGCACTTGATTTGCATTGATGAATGAACATGGATTGGGTGACTGTTCTACTCCTATTCCAACCTTTCAGGCCCTTTCCCTTTCATACCATATGCAGGCGTTCTTTCTAGTACAGACCTATACCTGGTCACCACCCACCAAACAAATTGCCCAGGCATATACGCCTGGTTCCTTCCAACCCAACAGTACATCGCTAGACTCAATTCTGGTCGGCCTGGGATCTCGCTGAAGGCCTGCGCATCGCAGGAACAGAACATCTACGACATGTCTTGAACATGTCTTGAACATGCGACTGTATTCTTGATGTCTCGGCAAGTGTGGAAAAGCGCCCAGGCCGCTCTGGCGCCTCTGGCTTTCCGGCTCTCCAAGCCTTGCGGAGGGAGGGACTGTGAGAGAAGTCACCGAGCCATGGACTTCTGATACCACATGGTTTGGCCCGGAATTCATTAACCTGTCTGCTCAGAAGACTGGAAGGATCAACGCTGTAATTCTGGACCGGCCGGGTGCTTCGCCTTTGGCTTTGTTCCGGCAAAGCAGAGGCAAGCCTGGCGAAATGAATGCGTTTCGGCCGTGGGTAAATGGTGCAGCTTTCACACCCCGGTCGTGGCAGCTAAGACTCCGAAATTTTATCACAAAGGACAAGCACCAATAATTATACATGTGTACGTTGCCCGAAAACGTGACCTTCCTCTTACATGACAGCGGTCCAAACCTCACTGGCACGGCCTTGTTGCATCAACTTCTGTAAACACAGCAAGCTTAATGCATCGTTCCGGCCCCTTCCCTCCATCTGCCGCTGAGGAACGCATCCCGCTGCAAGGAAACGGCGCTCTGCCTCCGAGCATGATGGTGGAGGGCTCAGAACCAAGTGCAACAAACGTTGAACTACTAGCAACGGCCTCCACCCCAGTAGCGATGGCCTCCACCCTAGTAGCGATGGCCTCCAGCCTCCACCCATTATAGCGCAGCCTCCACCCTAGTAGTGTGGCCTCCACGATATATAGCGACGGCCTCCACCCTAGTAGCGACGGCCTCCACCATATAGCGACGGCCTCCACCCCAGTAGCGATGGCCTCCACCCTATAGCGACGGCCTCCACCCTAGTAGCGATG